GATGCGCCTTCAAAGCAGGCACTATGAACGAGGACCATATCCAACAATTGATGGATACTGGATTCCCGCAGTTGGTGCGGAAATTGGAAGATCAAAACGAGAAATAAATGACCTGGATTGTCGATCAAAACAGACCAGAAGCCTCAACGATACGGTAAGCACACCAATGACACGAGAAAGAAAAAAACTGGAGTGGTTTGAGCTTCCAAACGGGCTTGTAGACCGCCTTTGCTGATGCCGCTCAACTACTGTACCCACTTTCTAGCTAGAGATCAACTGATGCAGGCTGATCCTTGTCCAATAAAAAGACAACGGCACCGGAGCATCCAGTAAAAACTATTGATGCTGTATTCAATATGCTTTGGGCCAACATATTTGATCTCACCTGTGTAAATGTTGACTCGGCCAGGTTCACCATAATACTTCTTGATCTCCGATTCCCCAAAATCCTCCGGAATTTCAGCATCGTCGGCTCCGACGATAGTGGCACGTGTGGGCTTCGTTTGATTTGTAAAAAAAAACAGCCATCCCAACCTTCTGCCCTTTTTCAAATATGAAGTCTTCGCGGACCTTCTGAAATGAAGGATTGGCAGCACAGGCGGGGTTCTCTGCATCTGCAATAACATTGCCAACAGTCGCATCAAATCCGTAAGCACAGAGTGCAGGCTGAGCCTCTTTACCCTCGCGAAGATCAAAACAGTCCGCTTCAGTTGGCAGCCAACCGAGGTCATCCCACAAAATATAAATGTCGTTGTCTGACAATAGAATATTGGCTTCCTTTGGGGTGTAAAGCCTATTGTCCCCGTCCACCACACGACGAAGATTGTGTTTGGCCGTAACTGGGTACACAGAACAAAAGGTTCCACCAGGGCTAGATTGCAAGATCTCTCGATGAATTAATCCGCCATGCACATGGCCATTTTTTGCTCTTTGCGTAATTTGATGTTCAAAGGAGCGCACTTGGGAAGGACCCACCGAACCAGTTCCTTCGAGATGAACTTGGCGTCGTCTACATGTCCAAATCCCCACTGTATTACATCCTTTTCCCAGTTAACAAGACTCTCAGCTACCCCAACTGGGTTGGTGCTTCCTTTTTCACTAGCGACGGCTAAGCCAATTGTGCTTTCTTGGTATGCACATTTCGGTTTGTAACAGCAGCAGTAGTCTGCTTCGTGTTTTGGAGATGGTGGTTACTATGTGGTTATGCGGAACTAGCTACCAGGTAGGATGCCTATGAAAGGATGCATGTCAGAGGACTCGACAGGAGCGCAAGTTTGCTTCGCGTGAATCGAATCGAATGAATCAATCAAGACCCATCACCTCCTGCAACGGATTGCTCGGACTCTCCTCGTGTGCTGTGTTTCCTGCTGTACCAGTACAGTGTACTTGTTCTCGTCACTGCTCCAGCTATCCTGCTGGTTCCTCGCAATTACCTTGGCGTATTTCACTCGTTCCTTGGAGCGTTAGGCTTGCTTGTAGGACTAGTCGCTGTGGAAGCTTGTTCCGATCGGTCGGTGGCTTCGAAAACTCGCTTGTCGCGATCACACGAAATTCCACCGTTAGGACTTGAGGGTACTAGGGAACTCACTCTGTTGACTGTTCGAAGCTCTTCTCTTGATGTAGATCCTTGTATTGGTGTTAGATGCGACTGCTGGTTGAGTATCATAGGCTTAGGTAGCTCCCTCTTGAAGATTCAGACGTCGGCGCTTGGCTGGGAACTGTGACTCCCACTGCTTCAGCACTTGTTAACTCGAATGGCGATATCTCAGTAAATTTTCAGAACTGTAGGCTTGCACTTGTATTCCCATATGCGGCTAGATGTCTTCTTTCGGTTGGTGTATGGGCTTGTAGTCGTAGCCATGTTGGTTCGGTTGCTAGCCTTGATCTCGCTGGTTGGCTTTTGCTCGTACGGTGGGTACCCAAAACACTCGATCGGTCGGTACTCCACGAGCGAATATCGCTCCGTTGACCTTGCTTCCGGTATCAATATGAACCGGCTACCAGGTACACGTAGTGCTCTACTCTCTGCTGGTATGCTTGTTTTGGGCTAAATCGGTCAGCCCAAAACGTTAACTCGATCGGCCGATGCTCCGAGAGCTTGTTTGGTGACAAAATGTGAGCGCGAATTTTCCTTTTTCCTTGACTGTCAGCTCTGTTGCTTTGCGTTTACAGCGAGGCTGCTGCGCATGCGCACCTCTGGTTCAATACCTGGTTAGAGCCTGTATTTCTTCTCAATTCTCTTGCACTATTACAATACCTGTTCTCATGCACTGACTTGATATCTCTAGGACTTCTGCCTCTGTCAGACTGTTCTTCTTGGCCTTTCACTGAGGCTAGCTGCACACCTCAAGGGTGGCACTGCACAGTAGGCTCTCTCTCACTCCTTTCTCAGTAGTAATACAATAGATAACTTATCTTACAATCCCATGGGATGATATCAAAAGATAAAGCTTTTTCCTTTCAGTGTTGCTTGGATGAAAACACTGCAGCTACTATTCTTATCAAGGTTATTTAGTTGATTCGGGCAATCTGAAAGGCAAAAGTGATCTTCCAGCCTGGGACAGGTTGAATCTGGATTTGGGAATGCCAGACTTCCTTAAATTCTTTCGTGGTCGCGGTCTTTCTACTTCTCCGGGTACGCTAACGCTAAATTTCTACACCGGATTTCTTGACCGTCCAACAAAAGCAAAGGGGCCTTGGTGAAACGGAGCTCGGCATCTTCCAATTGGTCATACATGTATGATACATGTATGAGCTTTTGAAGCTCCATAGCGGGGGAACGGCTAAACCCCAAGTGATTGCGAAAAACAAAGGAAATACATCGGCACTGGCGGGACAGTCGGCAAACGCTTCCGGTTGATCGTTTTTGGTTGCTCTGTTTGTCATAGTGGATGGTTGGATGTCGTCTTCGATCGATAGTTGCTAGCTCTACTAGCTAGAGAGTGGTGACTATCATAGCTAGCCAGTAGGGTGTACAGGCTGAATCTAAGCTATCGAGACAAACGCAAGCCCGCTCCCGGTAAGACATTCGAATGCGAACCGGAACCTTTTGGAACGTTCCTAGAAAAGACTTATGGGCCATATATAGCCTTAACCTTAATATCAACTGACATCACTCGGATCGTTCGATCGATCCAAGCCACTCGTACACCTCTTTCATTATTTCGATACCTCTATCTTTACTCTCTATCGACTCGACTCTATCAAGATGATGCTTCCTCCTCTTCTTTACATTGGCTACTCCTCTTAACAAAGGCTACTACTCACCACCATGTCGGGATCCTCTTGTTCAGCGGCAGCCGTTCGATCGTTCGACGGATCGAGTTGAGATCGATGACTTCTTTCTTCTTTCTTCTTCCACGGAGCGACCATGATGCCTCCTCTTCCACGGAGCGACGACGCCTCTACCACAACAAGCGACTACTACTAGAACGACAAGCGACGCCACGTCAATGGCATGGGCAACAAGTTTCTTCGGTTCGACGGATCGATTCGATTCTGTCTTCTTCCTGCTGCCACGGACCACGGAGCCTCTTTCACGGAGCCTCTTTCACGGAGCCTCTTTCACGCTCTTCCTCTTCCACGGAGAGTCCGTGAGCCTATGACACTGCTACTACTAATGAAACAAGCGTCAGCTTCGCTACTACTGCTGTTGACTGATTACAAACGTGAAATCTGCCCAATTTTGTGGCCATCAAGTCAACAATTCTCCTTTGAATCTGTGGGATGGGTGCTCCAGTCTTCATCCAAAGCCACCCACTCCTCTACCAGACTCTACAGTGCAGATTGAGTGCTGAGAGTGAGGACTGGAGCACCTTTCCCATGGAGAAATGCATGGCAGAATGACAACAAAATGGAATCCAAGCTTGATTTTTCATTGAGGCTCCATGACAAAGGTTGGAGATGGCCTATCCCGCGCAAGGAGAGTGCCTGTGAGTGTGTTGGGGAGCTAGTCCTCTGACCGGATAGGCCAGAACAATGTATTGGTTAAGCTAGAGACCATTTGGCCAACACTGTTGCCATGGTGATAAAATTCAATCTTTTCTTGTTATTCTAGCAAACCAGTCAACCAGTCATTCACCGCCGAATCGTGCAACGGAATCGTGAAATGACCACTTCTGGGTTCCCATTTCCGAAAACCGAAACATAACCGTCAAAAATGCTCACATTTTACACCTGT